CCTTGCATTCCAAGAACCGTGGCACGTAGGGTTCCTGAGAGGAGGGGATGGGGCAAGCGGGGTTCTGGGAGTGATCATGGGGTAAGGAGGTCCAGGAAAAGGGGAAGGGGGTACCTGAGAGATTTGAGGGTGGGGAGGGATCCCTGAGGGGTGGGGAGGGTCCTCAGGGAATTGGGGGGAAAGGAGCCTGAGAAGACCCTGCTGGTGGGGGGTGGAGCTGAACCTGGGGAGAGTGGTTAGGAGGCCTGGAGGAGGCATAGAGGCTGGGGGGGGACAAGGAGCAAGGGGGATTTGAAGGGGCGGGGGTGGGGAGAACTGGGCACCCAGCAGGAAAGAAGTCCCGAGCCTGCTGGGACCCCTGAAAGCAGATGAACAGAGATTCTGGATCGAATGGATTAGCAAAGCCTTGAGGGGCTGGAGAAGTGTGATTGGGTTTGAGGCAACTGAGGGGGACAGGAGGACTTGAGGGGAAGGAAGGGGACAGAGAAAGAAGCATGGGGCATTGGGGTTACCTGATGGCAGAGTTGCGTTGTGTGAGGTCATGCCACTTGGCCCCAGAGCATGTCCCTATGACCTCCCCACTCCCGTTCTTCATGCTGGAGCGCCCAGGCTGGTGTCAGAGGTCCGTGGCCGGGATCCATGTGCCGTGTGCCTTACCTGTGGTGTGACCCATGAGAACCAGGTGTGATGGGCGAATGGCATGTTTGGTACCTCTCAGGGGACTTGGCCTCCTGCGACCAGATGAAGGAGGAGTGCCTTGATGCATATGTGTGTGAGTTCACATCTTTCTCTGTCCCCGAGGGCACAGCTCAATGTGGGGACATGTTCCTGATTCTCAGAAACTCCACTTATTCTTACGAGACATCTCCTTCATCATATTCTCTTCTCTTTTTTTCTTTTTTTTTTAATGTGATTTGTGATTTCCATCCCTTCAAGAAGTCCCCCAGAAGAAGCCAGCCTTTGAAATTCCAGGTTTTTTTAAAATAACCACAGTGGAGTTGCCATGAAATGTAAAATGGCTTAATCAGCTGACTCCAGAATACATTTTAGATGTCATAGGCCAGGCTGGACACATTCCAGGGTCTGAGGGTCTGGCTGCAAAAGCTGCCTCTTCAGCCCTATGGTGAAGGGGTCGTGGCACATACATTCCTTCCTTTGCCTTTCCTTCTCTGTCCATCGGTGTCCTTCTCGTTCCCCCTTTATCCAGGTCCTGGCTCAGGGGACCACTACTATGAGCACAGGCTTTGCAGGCTGGAAGGGCATAGGTGTTGCTCCAGCCTCTGCCACTTCCTTGCCTTTTGTGACTCTCGGGCAGGTTACTGAACCTCTGAGCCTTGTCCCTCCTGGGTGGGCTGGGTCTACAAGAGAGGTGCCTCCCAGGAGGATTGTGGGAGTTAAAACTCTTGTACCTGCTCAGGAAGTGGCACCTCGCCCCCTACCTGCCAACGACCTCTTCGAGGTACCAGCTCAGGTGACATCACCCAGCGGCAGGTCATCTTGCTCCTGTGTGCCCTTTTGCTTACATCTCTTTAAGTTGTAGGCAAGTCATGGTTGAACTTGGGGCTTGGAAGTTTCCTGCCAGAACTCCAGTGTCCCCCTTCATCTCCTGCTTGAACTCCCCTGGGGGGGTCTCCCCTAGGTGGGCGGTAAACCTTGGCTTAAGTGCCCTGGAAAGTGGTGAGTGGGGACCTCTGGAGGTGGCCCATTCTCCTCTAGTGACTTTTCTTAGAGCTGCACTCACTGTTTGGGTAGAGCCCTTGGCCACAGCCAGCGCTTGAAATGTGGCTTGTTTGTCCAAATTCAGGGGAGCTGTAAGTATAATACATATTCCAGAGTAACTAATTTCACCAGATAAACATTTTCTAACGTGGCTAGAAATTTTAAAAATTGCATACATAGCTCACGTTCTTTTTCTTTTGGGCAGCCTCGGGTTAGTGCTCGTGCACGCTGAGCATTGAGCTGGCGTCTACCTGCCTGTTACAGTGTTTTACTCCGGGATTTGGTTCAGAGTCAAGGCACTAGTGAAAATAGCTAACTGTCAACCTATCCTTTGAAAGTTCGTTGAAATCACCCAATAAAGTGCAGTATACATGGTTTTTATATACATTTATTTATTTGTTTGTTTATTTATTTTTGGCTGTGTTGGGTCTTCATTGCTGCGTGCGGGCTTTCTCTAGTTGCGGCGAGCAGGGGCTACTCTTCGTTGCGGTGCGCGGGCTTCTTATTGCAGTGGCTTCTCTTGTGGAGCACAGGCTCTAGGTGCGCAGGCCTCAGTAGTTGTGGCTCGCGGGCTCCAGAGTGCAGGCTCAGTAGTTGTGGCTCGCGGGCTCAGTAGTTGAGGCTTACGGACTCGAGAGCACTGGCTCAGTAGGTGTGGCTCACAGGCTTAGTTGCTCCTCAGCATGTGGGATCTTCCCGGACCAGGGCTCGAATCTGTGTCTCCTGCACTGGCAGGCAGATCTTTAACCACTGCGCCACCAGGGAAGTCCCACATGGTTGGTTTTTAATAACCGGCTCTAGGAATGCATGTACGTATAAATGCCTACCGTTTACAGTAACGCTCAAGATATAATAAGAGCATGCTGCTGGAACGGAATGCCCTGGAATTGTCTGCACTGTTTAAATTATGCCCCTCTCCTTTCCCCCGCCCGTGCCTCTGTGTAATTCGTGTAAATTAGAGGCACAGATGCTACGGCTTTTGTCATCTGCGTCTTGGTTCTAGTCCTTTGCTCTGAGGCCACTCAAAATGAGTTTGCTCCTCCATCCCTGTGAAAGACAGGTGTCCTGACCTGGGGCTTCACTCCCCGACCCCCAGGCTTGTCTCTCCTGTTCCCTTGTCTCCTTCCCATGTGGTCCAGAGCTCTTGTGTCGGGAGGAAGGGCTCCCGGGTCTGATAGCAGGGCCACTGAGCTAGAGCTGGTCCTCGAGGTTCTGAGGTCTCCTAACCTTTATGAGTGGGGGAGGGGGATGGCATCCCCAGTTCTCAGGGACCTCAGCTGTGTGTCTGCGGGTGGTCTTTCTTTCCCATGAGATCGTAGGCCCTTCAAGCACCAGAATCAGGTCTGATTCACCTCCCAGCTACAAACCCCAGGCCTGGAATGTGCAGTGGCCACGCGGTGACCTCGGCTCGGGCTGAGTCATCTTTTGGTAGCGCATGCAGTCTTGGCTAACCCTCGCCCTTGGGGTCTCCGCAGAGCAAACTTGGTGGACCTGCAGAAGAAGCTAGAGGAGCTAGAACTTGACGAGCAGCAGAAGAAACGGCTGGAAGCCTTCCTCACCCAGAAGGCCAAGGTCGGGGAGCTCAAGGACGATGACTTTGAAAGGATCTCGGAGCTGGGAGCCGGGAACGGTGGGGTGGTCACCAAGGTCCAGCACAGACCCTCGGGCCTCATCATGGCAAGAAAGGTGAGAGGCAGCTGGCGGCAGGGTGACGGCTCTGTCCCCGTACTCTGCGGGTGCGAGCGGTGGCGACAGGTGCCCTGGCAGTGGGAGAGAGGGGCCTCAAGGGTGCCGGCCTCTGCCTTCTGACGGGCTCCCAGGCTCAGAGGCCACCCCCGCCAACGTGGGTTCTAGTTAGAATGTGGTGATGCAGCCTGGTCCCACGCAGCTCTTCCCTTGGAGGCCGCCGCCTGCCTTGCGGGATGTCTGAAATTCAGGTTTCCGGGAACAGACTGGCTCGAGAAGGGTAGCAGACGGAAGAGAGGAGAATCGAGTCCTCTTAGAGCCGGGCTTCCCCTGGCTTCGCAACCAGAAGGCCCTGCCGACCAGGACTGGCTGCTGGTAACGACGGCCACATCGGTGGGGTGGGGGAGGGCGGTCCCTTGGCAGCGGGGTACCCGAGCCACCTGTAGTAGCCAGGGTTCTCCAGAGAAATAGAAGCATTAGGGGTGTGTAGGGGGTGGGGTAGGTAGAGGTACTTTAAGGCATTGGCTCAGGCAACCATGGTGGCTGGCAGGTCTGAAATCTGTAGGGCGGGCCGGTGGGCGCAGACCCAGGAAAGAGCTGGTGCAGCTTGAGTCCAAAGAGAGTCCTGGGGGCTTCCCTGCAGGGAGCGCTGGTTTGATCCCTGGTCAGGGAACTAGGATCCCGCATGCTGCGGCATGGCCAAAAAATTTAAAAAGAAGAAAAAAGAGAGAGAGAGAGAGAGAGAGAGGGAGTCTGGAGGCAAAATCCTCTCTTTGGGGGGGTGGGGTGGGAGCACGACTTCCGTCTTTTCTCTTAAGGCCTTCAACTGATTAGATAAGGCCCTCCCACTTATGGAGGGTCACCTGCTTTCCTCGAAGTCTGATGATTTCCATGTTAGATCACATCTAAAAAATACCTTCACAGTGACATCTAGATTGGCATCTGACCCAACAGCTGGGTACCGTGGCCTAGCCAAGCGGACACACAAAATCAACCATCACCTCCCTGTTCAGTGCAAACCCTGGTGCTAAGAAGTCCCTCATCGGGGCTCCTGTGCCGCAGTGCAGCCTCCCTGCTACACGTAGGGGAGGGTCCCTGAGAGACATCGGGAGTGGGGAAGAGGAGGTCACCACCTGGGGATGGTGGCTCCTGCACACGTGACTGGGGGACGTTGAGTTGACACGCGATTCAGCTCCCACAGACGTGTTCCTTCAGACATAGAAAGTCCCCTTTCTGGAAGCCCATCGTCCCGTAGTTTCCGAATTGCGTTCTTGGAAACCTGACCACCCCGTTCCCCGGGGGGATCTGCGCAGGGCCCGCCTTTCCTGGGAACCATGCACTCGGTTTCCATGTGTGTGGGGGGGAGGTTAGCACAGCAGCTATTCCTCCTGCCTCCAGAGCCCCGCCCTCCCTTCTGAAACCTACAGCCACATGCTTTCTATTTCTGTCTGCTTACCACAGGCAGCCTTTTCAAAACCAGAGCAGCCCCCGAAATCCCTGGTCTGCCATCACCCAAAGTACAGGGAGTGGAAGGGCAGACGTGAAATTCAGACGGTGATGGAAGGCGGGGACTTGGGAACAGAGTGCACAGGTCAGAGTGCTCGTCAGGGTCGGAGGGTTCTCAGGACAGCCAGGACTCTTCCAGGTGGCTGCTGACATGCCTTGTATAACCATGAAATTGGAGAGTTTGTCTACGGCTTTCTGAAAGCCTGCGAAGTAAGGCTTCCGGGTTTAAACCTGGGGGGCCCAGGTGTAGTCTAGTTAGTGGTGCTGCCCCGATGTCTGTCCCGGCTGTGATACAGGCCTCAGTCACAGACAGCGTCACTGCCAGGGGAAGCTGGGTGAAGGGCACTGGGGGACTCTCTTTGCTGTTTTTGCAGCTTTCCTGTGCTTACGTAATCCTTTCAAAATAAAAGGTTTAAAAAAAAAAAGGGAGGACTTCCCTGGTGGTCCAGCGGTTAAGACTCGGAGCTTCCACCGCAGGGGGCGTAGGTTCGATCCTTGGTCGGGGAACTGATCCCACATGCTGCGCGGTTTGGCCAAAAAAATAATAATAATAGAATAAAAAATTTTTTAAGAAAGGGAATTCCCTGGAGGTCCAGTGGTTAGGACTCAGCACTTTCACTGCCAAGGGCCCTGGTTCGATCCCTGGTCAGGGAACTAAGATCCTGTATGCCGTGTGGTACGGCAAAAAAAAAAAAAAGTTCTAAAAACTGGGGGGAGTGAACCTCAGATTTTGTTCTGCATCAGTCGTAACCCCTTCCAGTTGCTGTGGCCTGTGCAGCCGCACCCAGAGTCATGCAATTCAGGGCGTGAATTTACTCCCTGGTGGCCCCAGAGCCCTCGGCCGGTCTGTGGAGGTCAAGGGCTCCCAGAGTGCCAGTTCTCCCAGGAGCTCTGTTTGCCTGTATTCAGCTGAGGACACAGGTGGGAAAATTGATGTGTCAAAGTGGTTTTTGAGGAACAGTGGCCTCCATCCTTCCTCCACTACCTTGGGTGGAATTCCGAATTCCTGGGAAGCCGAGTAGGAATTCCACGCATTCTGGAAGGCCTGCACGGATCCTGCTGTGGGCCGGCATCCCTCCAGCCCCTGTGATGGGCAGGGGATTATCCTGACCACTACGACATGAGCAGTGACACCAGGTCCCTAAGACCCACAAGAACCGGGCTCCATTTCCACTGTCTCGTCCGTTCGTAAATGTTCTCTGAACTCATGCCTGGTGTCACGATTCCTCCCACATCCTTGCGGGGCCCTGGGCACACAACCTCTGCGTCACTGGGACCGGCAGAGATCCGCGAAGAATTCGGTGACCGTGTTGCACCTGTGGGGCTCTCCCAACTTCCCTGTGCTCTGAGCGGAGGGATGTGTTTTCAGCCGTGTGTGTGTGTGTGTGTGTGTGTGTGTGTGTGTGTTTTCAGCCGTGTGTGTGTGTGTGTGTGTGTGTGTGTGTGTGTGTGTCCCTCCGCTCGGCATCTGCATGCTTCCAGAATGGAGGTTACAGACCTGCCCAAGGCCACGTCCTAACACTAGATGCCTTCTTTCTAGTGATGGCCCTGGGTCAAAGCCGGTGCACACGTTCTCATTTGCATGGACCAACAGCTCTGTTTTACTGAGAAACTGAGGCTTAGCTGGGTCGGTGTCTGAATGGGGCTTGAACCCTCTCGGGTCCTCCCTTTGCAGTTGACCCTGACCCAGTGGAAGCTGTCCAGGCCTCGCCTCCGCAATCCATTTCTCTCTTTACCTAGTTTGTGCCCCCTGCCCCCATCCCTAACTCGAATGCCCCATTCTGCAGTAGGAACACCCTTAGACTCCTAGATGGGGTTTGAACTCCTAGCACCATACTTATTTAATCAGCTGTTGGAGCTCACACGGCCCAGGTGCTGCCGTGGAAAGAGCGTGGGTTTTGTTTGGCGTTCCATGAGCCAGGCCCCAACCCTCCCTGACCGCTCACCAGCTGTGTGCCCCTGGGGGCGTCATTTAAGTCTCTGAACGCGAACTTGCTGGTCAGCCCAATGGGGGCAGTTCTCACCACCACTCTCCAACCTCTGTGGGTCGTCATCGTCATGGCGAATCGCAAGCACCAGTGCTCAGAAATGTGGCCCTCGTCCCATTCC